AAATGATAAACATTTACAAAAGTTTATTTAGAAGAAGTAAAGCTTACTTACTCATTCTTCTCAGGGGATATTGCCTTACGAATGAGTAGTAGAGCTTAATGAATGTGTGATTTCCTTACCTTGGAAATAAAGACTATTTCAGTTTAAGTTAAATGGCATGTAGCTTACCATCAAGCACACGACTTGTTCGTCCCGTCATTTGATATTACAAAAAAAAAATCATTATAAATTCCTATACGTAAGTATCGACCAAGTTAACAGTAACATAACTAGTGGCGCTAGCGTTACGATTAAACCTGGTACATTATTATTAATCATCTGTATACTGCTACCACCAGTTTTGACAGTTGTCTCTAGCGAACACGTAAAACATTTGAAGAGACCAGGCAAAGAACGATCCAAGTCACTTAAAACACGCTTTGTTAACACCGCCATCCAGTTCGATAAACGCTGGGCGTACTTTGCCTAAATGAGAAAAAGGCTGTCATTGTTCAATGTCCTTAATAACTCTTAAAAGTTTGAGACTACACGGTCGCCTGCACCCCATTTCGTTTCTGTACTCATATAGCTACAATTAAAACCACTATTTGGATGCAATGCCCTAAATAATTTGAATCGTTCAATTTTGATTAGTGTTTTAAATCTGACGTGAGTAATTTCCGTTTTCGTATATTACAAGTTATTAAAGCATTTGTAGTTAAGATTTTTAATTCTACTCAAACATTTAAGAAGATAAGAAAATATAACACAGTCCAAAGTACAAAATTTAAAACCCGGCAAGCTGTCAATTGTACTTCATTTCTTATATCTTAAGAGTGTAAAATTATATGCCTGGCGTACCAATTGCCTTATCTGAAACTATGGAATTCATTGTGCTAGGTACAACCAAATTAGAATCCCTAGTCAAAAAAGGATTCTTATCGGTGCCAAAAAAAAAAAGAATGTCACTTATAGGTACATATGCAGGCATGTAATATTCTTTTGATTTTTGTTTTATAATTACAACTTTTTCATAAAAAAACAACCGACCTCAAAAGTTCGTGGAATTGCATCTATTTGCCAAGTTTTATTGAAATCGGTTATCGGAAAGTGCGTAAAAACGGATTCATCTCCTAGTTTGCCGCCCTTAGCGGTGGAATATTTTCTTCAAATTTAAATGGGATCACTCTTATACCCTCTTTCTAACAAAAAAGAATCATCCAAATCGGTTCGTAAAAGTCGAAGTTATCGCGTAACATACCTACATACAAAAATAAAAAACACAAACGAATTGAGAACCTCCTCCTACTTTTGTAGTCGGTTAAAAATTAGCTTACTCTCATAAAATGCTTGCGACTAAATAGTAGAAAAAAAATTAAAAATAATTAATGTTTTTTTTTAAATTAAATTGGATTACGTTACATACTTTTATGTCAACATTGACTTTATTTAAAATAGTATTTCTGCTATCATTCCTATGTATAACAATCGCGAAAACCTAAGAACTCGATATGTGTAATATTTTTTTATTTATACATGATTTTATAACTTACTTATTATTTAATTTTTTTTTATTATAATAAATTGTAATTGATATATTAAGCCATAAACCAGAAATCATAAAGTTAAAAATAAACATTGTATACAAAGTAAATAGGTAAGATTTCGTGTCACACAAAGTTATTTGTTTAATAGTTTCATCAGTAATAAATTTTCACTTTCAAACAATGACAAACAAGTCGTGCGCCTGGCGGTAAGCGAAACGCCTGTCCATGACAGGCGCAGTGCCACTCAAAGCTTTAAATTGCAAAGATTTGAGTTACTTTGAGACATAAGTTGACAAGTCCCATGTGCTTGTAATTTCACCCTTCAAAACAGGAATACAATAATTCTCATTATTGCTTGACGACAGAAATAGGTGACAGTACTTCCCTGGACTCACTCTTTCAAAATGAGCTCTACTGCTACGTGACGTTACCAGCGCAGGGTCGCACCCTCGACTTTGTATGTGATATTCGACTCTCCCACTATATTCTTGCAGGTTTACTCGCTTTAGGTTATGTTAGACTGGCTGGAGAAGGATCCGCAAGAACTTGTGACAACAAGAATCGGGAATCGCACAGATCACAATAGTGATCTACATATGGCAGTCAAGATTCGGTTTGGATAAAAAATTAAGTAAAATAAAAATCTTTTATTGTCACACAACACCTGCCTATTTCTGCCGCCAAGAAGTGATGTCAGCATTACTGTGTTTCGGTTCTGAAGGGTAAGGGTGCTGGTGAAATTACAGCCACATGGGACTTGTCAATTTATGTCTCAGGGTGACGGATGCAGTGGCAGTGCCCCTCAGATCCTTGCGATTTAAAGCTCTGAGTGGCACTGCAACTGTTATGGACAGGCGTGTAGCTTACCATCAGGCACATGACTTGTTCGTCCCGTCAATTTATATAATAAAAAAAACAAAAACAGGTCTGTTAGTAGTAAATAACATTATAGGTACCTACTGCATTAGTAACCTTTGGTTAATGAGACATAGGTAATAACTCCTCTTATCGCTAGGTACTGCTACTAATATAAATTTAATGGTTAAATTTAGTAATTTTTTTAACTTTCAAATAGTGTTTTCTCAATTATACATCATTTTTGAGTAACGACAGTTCTTGGTTTCGTGTGCGGTGTGCCTCAGTCATAGCTTAGTGGGACAATGGTTGTTCTTTAATGAGAGGTAAACGGTTCGAATATGCGACATAATACGTTAGATTTTAACCGATTTAAAAAAGAAGAGGTTCACAGTTCGACTGTATTGACTGTGTTTTTTTTATGTTATGCGATTACTCCGATTTGTGAACCGATTAGGATGATTCTTTTTTGTTGGAAAGAGGGTACCTCACAGTTTTTCCTATTTAAATGTAAAGAAAATATTCCACCTCTAAGGATAGCAAAGGGATGAATCCTGTTTCGCGCATATTCCGGTAACTGATGCGAATAAAACTTGGCAAATAGATGTAATTCCACGAATTTTAGAAGTAGGTTTTTATTTTTTATGTAAACTTACAATTTTAACTTTTAAGTTACACACAATTAGCGAAGGTCTAGCATACACCTCGCTAACTATGAACGAAAACTCCGTGAATAAACATTATTGTCAAGGAGGTTTGCAACACTTTTAAAACTTCTGAAATGTCTCAACCTGTATTAGATCAGAATGGGAGACTATTCTTAAACCCTCTCCCGGTCTCCACCAGTGCCTCTACTAAGAAACGTGTAAATAGGTTCATGATATTGTTATTTGTCAAGAGATTTTCATTATATTACTTTGTTTTCCATAACAAGGAATATTTTCAACTCGCAACGCATCCTAGAGATAAGCGGTGTCTTTAACGCGCAACTGTAATTTTATCCGCCATTAAGAAAAATTGTTAGATATTTGTAAAAAATTATAGAAATGTTCAGAAAACATATTTTTACCAAAATTGTTACACTCAGTGTGTCTCTAGGGCGAGTGACAAGAACAAACGTAACCCTTAGGGTAAAACCGGGATAGATGCCCCACTTTTTGAAACGGCCTCCTAATTTAAAAATTATTAGTTTACCACGAATAATTCCTATGGATATAACTAGTTTAATCTTTTACATTACATTAATACTTGATTTTATTGATCTAACATTTACTGATTTTGAAGAAATTGACTTTTTGCAAACCTATTTTTTTGAGAATAGATGCCTACCTATATGGATAGACGCCACACAATAAAAATACTAAGAAGGATGCCCTTTAGAATAAAATAGTAAAATTCATAATAAAATGCTTTATTTGTAATCTTTAATATATTGTATATATACGTACTACATCTTTAATAATAAATATATACGTATTTAAAGTTACTACCTACTTGACTCCGTATTTTTGTCGCTATCAAAACATTCTATACAAAAATGTTTTCTGCTTGAACTGTGAATAATTTGTCTTTTTGGTACTTTTATTTTACTTTTAAACTATTATCATTTACATGTCTTTTTCACCAAAATAATGTATTTTTTATTTTCTTTTCCTAATTTTCTTATTTAGTCCTTTGCTCCTAATAACCTAATAATGGGCACCTATACCGCGAAAAATCGAGGCGACTATACTATTCGATATGGGTAGATACCCTTTTATTATATAAATAAGCTATGTACAAAAGAGCGATTATTGACACCTAGGTGCGCAGTTAATGAACCAGTGTATAGTTATAATAAAAATAAAATGGAATTTATTGTAACTTACAAAGTCATGCGACAGTAAATACTTGTGTCTGATATTTTGAACCGTTTATCGTTTTCGTCGCGAAGATAAACGCTTGCACAAACCAAACGCATCTATTCCACACGAAGCCCTGCAGGAACTTTGTTGAGTTGTGTCTATACTTCTTATTTAAACTAATTATTCTTTGTTGCGATTTGGGGAAGTTAGGTTTTTTAAATACGAGGCCTACCGAAACCTATCCCACTGCGGCATCTATCCCGGTTTTACCCTAATAGATATGAATTTTGGTTATTATTTCTCCAGCATATCATACGTTTATTATTTTATTTATCTATAATTGAGATAATATCTATTTATCTATAAATATTAGCGACTTTGTTAGCACAGCACGCGTGAAAGTGTCTATACACTTTTTGGGGCTATATTAGTAGTTTATGTTTTTATTGTAGTCTGTACTTATTATATGCTATGTAATTACAAAATGCTCTACTTTCAGGATGATTTCAAGATCCAATCATAATTGCGGTTTAGCGTAATAAGTTTCCTCTATTCGCAAATTAAAGGAAGCAGCGGCCCATGCTTCATACCTACCATTAGATTTGAGCAATGTAACGTACATTGCAAAACATCCGTCGGGCGGCATGATTCGGCGTCCATGGCGAAACGCGGCGGCATCCATCGCACGCGCTGCGTTACTGACGCACACCACCGCAACCGCCCAAAAAGAGAAAAAGAAAATTTGAAAGAGAACACTCCCATCACAGGTCCGTCTGCTATAAACCCCGCCTATACCCAACCACCCATTCGCTGGTGTGGCCAATCAGCGAGCCGGATTCTCCGAGCGGTGTGTGCTGGCGCCGATGCCGCCCGAGGGCGCCCGAGCGCCCGCGTTCACAACAAAAAGTCACACGACTGGTTTAGTGTCGGGTAGCGTCCCATCGACGCCACATCACGTGTCGCGCTCAATCGCGAGCTGCCGCGCAAGCGCATAGAAAATGAACTGTTTTTGTTAACCTCTCTTAGCCCGGTCTAACCCAACACCTAACTCTAAATTTAACTAATTAGTATTATTAAACTTGACCCAGTTGTGCCCTGTGATACAAGATAATATTATTATTTATCTAATAAAATGGACCGAACGGAATGGAGCTGATGTTTTCAGTGTGTTATTATTGTCCAGTGATTCTGATAAGTGATGATAGTGATCAACGGTTGAGTGATAATCATCTGATAAGAACACTTGAGGTATTTTGTCCTTATCTATTAATTACTCTAGTGGCTTAAAATGATAAATGGTACAAAGTAATTTTCTTATCTAATAAGAAGTTAATCTATAAGTAGTTTTGGGTCGAGTACTTTAAAATTTTGTAAAATAATATTTGATTTGTTATCAGTTTTGTTAAATACAATGACAGAAAACAGCTAAAGATAGGTATATCGCTGTTAAATAATTTTTTAAAAAATATTACAAGCTCTACATACAAAAATATACACCTAATAATCATATTATTGCTGAAAATAATAAAAATGAGTTGTATTGCATAATATTGTATACATGATTTCATACAACACAATATTTTTTATACAAAAATAATGGTTGTAGAGTCGCGAATGCGCCCGTCGGAATATTGTAGTGTGCTCTATACAGTTTCCTTTACTCTAGTTATACAAATATACTGGAAATCTCCTGTACCTTTATTGTTAGTCTAATAGTGATTGTAGATAATCGATTTCGGATACTTAATGATATTTTAACTTTTTTTTAATCAAAGTGGTTTTTGCTTTTTTACTATATAAATAGTTATTTAACAAAAAAGCATCGCATGTATTTAGTAGGAATAAAATGTAATATATATTTTTAAAAGTTTTGCATTAAAATACCTCAACCACACAAAAGATTTCAACGACTACGATATCATAGTATAAACAATATATTCTTTCAGTTTCTTTACAATATACCTGTGATAAATTATTGCACATATTTACAGTTATTACTTTTTAAAAACTGCATATTTCTAAGTAATTATACAGGCTGTTTACATATTACATACTAACAATATAGAATTCTTCTTACACGAAAGGGCTATCAAATCAAATAGAAACAGATTCATAGGATTGTTTTTACGGAATAATTATTACTGTATTTAAAAGAGATAGGCAAGTAAATAGACACCTAAAATAAATATTAACTACATACCTACTCATACTTATAGACAACCAATTATATAGTAACTTTAAAATTAACATAGTCATTTTTGTATCTCTTTTCGATAATCTTGATGTTTCTGATAATATAATTTAATTAAATATAAATGACAATATAATATTATTTTACAGTATAATTTTATTTCAGCTAATTATAATTTATTAATAACAAACACAAACATAGATGTTTCAAAAATTACACATCTCTGCCTATAGGGTAATATAAACTTTATTACAACAGCAATATAAAACAATATAATTTGGCAAAAAAAACCAATGTAACTTGGCAAAATATTAATAACACTTATCAATTTGCAAATCCAAATAAACAAGAAAAAATTACGATTGACACTTTGGTACTGTTAGTCAACAACAAACAACATTAAAAATTACTTACGAATGCTTCACAAAAGGAACTTATTTTTATTGGAATTTGCTAAAAAACTGCCATTCAATGTCAATGTCACCTCAGTTTTGTTACTGGCTGCTTGGACGCCATGACAGTTCGAAATTTAAATGCGGCCCGATGCGCGGGCGCCGATTAGCCGTCGATAAGCTTGTATGAGGGAATCGCCTATGTACATGCTTCCGCCGGATTTATATATGCAGTTATGCCATGTATGAATTCTGGATTAGTTTGGAGAATAAAATATATTTATAAATATTAATTTTGGTACTTAATCATTTTTTTGCCATCCATTTTTTTTGCAGAACCATAAATTCTTTGAATATTTATATCCATATTTATATGATTTAGAAATAAATATGTATAAGATACGGATACACCGGATATCGCTCTTTTTTAATCTACTCAAAAACTAGAAGCTATATTTTACAAGCAATCAATTGTTTAATAGTTCGTAAAATATATATATTTTAAATATTTGTTTTAGTTATGTTGAACTTTGCAAAGTGAATAGTCGGATACATTTTTGAAAGAAATTGATTAGATTATATGTAAGTACGCAGTAGTTTTATAGGTTTAATACATTTTGTAATGACTTGGTGTCTTCAGTTTTGTTTTAGTGCCACAAATGATATTTACTCTGGAAGGAGCATAGCTTCTAATTTAAACAATAGAGTCATTTTAAAATTTCTTCAGCATGTATATACATTCATATATACATTCCCGGGCAAATAATGCGCATCAACTTGCATTTTCATTCTTAAAAATACAAAAATATTGTTATCATCAAAGAAAAAGGTTCTCGTCGGTTTCACAAACTTAAATTTTATGGAAATGACTAGTAGGTATACCTATTTCAAAATCGCATAATAGTTTTTGATCAATGAACCATTATTTAGGGCATTTACTATTCAATTAACGCTCAATAATGAAAATTGGAGGTGGTTCAAATGAAGTATATTTACTATATGGTATTTGTAATACAATTTGTAATCTAAACTGCAGATACAAGTGATTTGATACCCAGCTATCAAGTAACATTTGTCAAAGAGATTGTTCTCACTAGTGATGAATATTTAATCGAGAGATAAGTACCAAACAAGCATTGGATTAAACCTTTTCTAATGAAAAAATGAATAAATCAATCATCGATAAATTATTCAGTCTGGTGTTCATTTTAAAAGGCATCGATCAAACCCTATCGATGCGTGTCGATAAACTAAAACGTTTGCTAGGGTTGGCTATTGTGCAATTATCCAACTTAAATAAATTTAAAATTATTTTTTCTTAGCCTGAATTGAAAGTGTGAGATACGATAATAACCATTCCCTTTTCTATTGATCACCGGTTAATAATAAAGTTGTTGGTTTTCTTTGGTCAATTTGTACAATTACCTTTAGATAGTAAAGAAAAATAACAGTTACTAGCTTGTTTTTTTAGACGGATTTACATCTTCTCGCCACCCATATCAATCACAGTGACAAAAGACCGGCGTGAAACATTTTCATGGTTTATTGGTTTTAAGTTTTTCTTACTTGAATAGCATACTCCTCTCATGCTGTATATTTAGAATTAATAACTACAGCTCAATTTATAGAGTAATATTATATTGATAACCCTATAAGGTTTGTTACTACTGTCACAGTTTTTACAAAAAGGCCAGATCTTTTGTTTGTGAGTGTTATAAGTAAGATTCGAGACCCGTGTAGTTTTAGAAGGCTTTGTCAATAATCCGCTTTGTTTGTACGTATCAGTAAGCATTTTTACATTGGTATTTATGGTAGGTACTTAGCTCTATATTTTACAAATACATTTATTACAGTTCATTTAGTTTGTAACTGTTTAAGATACAAATATGTTTTTTATTTATTCATTTATTTTGTACAACGTTTATTCTCATATCCAGCCTAATTTTAAATAAATTTAAATAGTTTTAAGTAGTTCACTACCTAATTTTCGTGGCAATTTTTAAAATTTAATTATCCTTTTTTTTTGTGCCATATTATTTAATATTCGAGTATTGTATCGTGTGGCATTATTTAATAATTACAAGATAATATACTTGAAAATTTAAGTAATAAAACTTGCCACAGAAATTAGGTAGTGAACACTAGTCTGAGAAGGACCGACAACTTACACTGACAGTAGGTACTAAACATGTAAGTCATAGTCAAAGGGGATGACTGAAAACTAGCGCTGTGTCTTTCCTGAACAGGAGCAGTACCAGTTGAGACATCTCCTTTTGCCTCCTGTCAATGTTTACTTAGTATTTTATCGCGTTTGAGTACTATATCCGATTCGTATTCGTTCAGAATCCGAGACTATAAAAATCTAGAAAACTGGGACCCATTTCGGATGTCGCTTGGGCACTAAGTCCGATTCCAATCCGAGAAAATACGAATATCGCTTGTACACTTAGAGATAAAATGATCCCTATGTTATTTCGAACCGTTATTTCTCGGACTCGGAACTTTTTACTTTTTTAAACTGACTTCAAAAAAAGGAGGAGGTTCTCAATTCGACTGTATGTTCTTTTTTTGGGATGCGTAATTGATAGTTTTTTAGGTGACAGTAAAACTGTAACGAGATATCTCGAATGTTACTGAAATTAAAATGCGTTAGTAATGTCAAGGAATGCAGTACGGGTTCCAATTATAATCTGTAAAATATTTAGCCACCACAAAATCTGCATTCAAATGGTTTCAAATTCAAAGGTCTCATGAAAGAATGGCAAAACCACAGCAATTGCAAAAGCCATTATGATTTTTTATTACAGAAATGAAAATTGTACTAAATTATTAACCACGTGAATACGTAAGTTCATGAGTTTGAAATCTTCTCACACTTGGTTAATGAGCGGTTTGTGAACTTTAATAGAATTTAATAGTATGATACTCCATTAGTACCTTATTGAAGATTGTTTATTATATTTTTTCGCCACTTGTTATGAAACGAAAAATGGATTCTCTGGGAAATATACCATCGCTACACCACTAAGTTACAAAAAAAGATTTTTATAAAACAAAATCACTATGTATTTATGGAAATTATACAACACGGATTTAAGTTTTGTTAGTAATATAAGGCTTCAGTATGTACAATGTTAGGAGCATAAGTAAAGAAGACGGATACACTTCCATACAATCTTGAGCCCAGATGTAAAAACATGAAAGTGGTGTCAATTAATAGATTAAGTATACCGTCGGTGTTTTGAATGACAAAAGTCCATTTCGAATTTTTTTTCGTGGGAGCATGTTTTAGTTGTTTACAACTATTTTAAAATATTTATGTCTTGTTATAAATTCTATTTTAAAACTTAAACTTCATTGAAACCAAAATTGACAAATTGACAATTGACAGTGAGCAAAATTTTAAGAGGTTAGGTTGGGTTATTAGTTAGTTACGTATTTCTCATTTTCCAGATTGAGAATTAGGTTAATTTTTTACATTTGAAATAGAATAACATGGCTTTTATTCAAACCATATCTTAACTTAATACAATCAGGCACAGAATGCTCGGTCTTCTTTAGGTTTGTCCTAAAGCTCCAATTGCCGTAGGTCCATAGAGGTGAAACTCTTAGGTAGCTTTCAGGGTACTTTGTGCAGGCCTCGGTTGACTTAAAAACTTCTTCGT